AATAAATATGAAAAGGTTCCAGTCGAATGGCTGCGATAAAATCACATGGCCACATGACATAAGCAGACCGAGCCATGTCCTAATGTGACATGAGCAAGCCGACCAATAGGACCAGACTTTCTTTTCCGATGAGATATTGATTGACATGGCCCCAGAGTATCGCAAATACGTTGTATTAGAGAACGGAAAGCGAGTAATCTATGTGCGGGTACTGCGTGCTATATATGGGATGTTGCAATCGAGCCTCCTATTCTATAATCAGTTTCGAAGTGATTTGGAGGCAAAGGGATTCGTTTTCAATCCGTATGACCTGTGTGTTGCTAACAAAGTTGTTAATGAAAAACAGCAAACTATCAGATTTCATGTTGACGATCTTATGTCAAGTCACATGAGCAAGCCGACCAATAGGACCAGACTTTCTTTTCCGATGTGTGGTGTCTAGGTTGTAGGAGGAAAGCCACCTTCAAGGGGCAACACAACAAGAAGGGAATCATTGTCTCAACAGGTCTTACACAACATCTTAAGGCAACCTTACAGCCTGATTGGAGGAAGACACGTTGCTATGCAATGGGTTATACTCAATTTTACAATTCTTCAGATACTATGGACTACACAGCGTCATGTGCCATCAACAATGAAATGGGCTTTGGAGAGCCAGAACAGAACAAGTCACCAGAGGAAATGATGAAGTTGGAAGAAGCACCACCAAAAAATGAACAAAAAAAGGAGAAATGCTTTAATCTTCCAAAATCTTGTTAATTCTCAGTACTACTAATAGTATGATGGTGTTCAGCTTTTGAAAACTGTGTTTTGTATGGTAGAAACCATGAGGAATGATAGGTTTGTGTAGTCAAGCAATGATGATTGTATTCTTGGGTAGCATGGTCCGGAAATGGAGACCGCTGTGACCATCCTGGTTGCATCCAACAATCAAACTTACCTTGTTGAGAGACGTCAATCCTCATAGAGATTGCTTGATACATCTGTAGAAGTTGAGCAATGATGATGGTGTATTGTTGGGTACAGTAGTAGTCAAGCAACCTCAAGCAACGCCATTTCTCTTCTGCTTTATGGATTCTTATCACATATGGCTTTATGAGGAGTCTATACCGGTAGCTAATCAAGCAACAACGGTGTGTTGTTGGGTGCAGTACTAGTTGTGTAATGGCGACCACTGCCATGGCCACAATTGGCAATTGCAACATTCAACAATCAAACTTACCTTGAACGACAAGTTTTTTCTCTTCTGCTTGATGGATTCTCCCCATAGACGGCTTGATGAGTCTGCTGTATGAATAATCAAGCGACTGAGATGGTGTGTTGTTGGGTACAGTACGTTGTCCTTTTGTAGGTTCAATGTAAATCGCTTCGATACTTCAGGGTTCCATCGAATTGTTGGAATCCGTCCCAATTGCATGAACATATTGTCCAAGTTCAGCAACCATGTCACTCTTGTAGTTGATATTGACATTATCAATGAGTTGCTGCGGACTGAAATGTGATGAGATACTTACTGTCTTTCTGGGGAAAGACATTCAATAGCTTGGCGGCTTGACGTCCAAGACATTCAGTGATCACTTTGGGGCCACTTTGTAGGGTAATCGTGCAAGAGCTACTCTGACTCTTTCTTTCAGCGTCCTATTGTCTCGCTCAGCGGTAGACTCGTGGTCTCCAGCTGCAGTCAGGTCAATAGTAACACCCATATCGTCTAGCATATCATCTGTGAGAGGAATGAACGCCCAATCACACTTGATGATCTTGACTTGAAAGCCTGCCTTGTTGTAGCGGCAGAATATCTTATCCAATGCTTCAAATACAGGGTCAGTCTTCAGGTTCTGCATGGGAATACATGAGCAATAACGCACAGTGGTATCAATGCAGGTGAGAAACTTAGCATTCTCGATCTCCATGTGATCAATACAGACGGTAATAGATCGATTGTGCTGATATAATTCCTCTGGTGGACTGAAGAAGTCGTCGTACGTCTTCTTTGGAGTTGGTCTTGTTGACTTGCCTTTCAATGTAGAGGCGTCAGGTCCAAAGATTGCTTCGGCATGATTGATCGCTTCTTTGGTGATATGACAGTTCTTGATGACACCAGATCGGATCGTATACTTCAGACTTTTGGTGCTTGGAGCATTGAGTATGTGCATCACACTTCTTGCTTCCATCGCAGCCTTGACTTGTCTTAGAGTGAATCCTTCCTTGTTCTTTCAAACGGTTGCCATCGAGGAGGCCATCTCAAGTCCAGCATATCCATTCTGTCTGTTTGAAGAAAGTTCGAAATGGGGTTGATTATTTAAGTTGCTTAACTGGCGACGGTACATCGCACTTGTCGCTTTGGCACCTGGTTCGACATTTGCTCCATGTTGCTCCAACACATACACACCCTTACCATTCACAAATCGCATCTTTCTGTTTCCATCACAATGCACAATAAAAGCATTGTCAGCATCAGTATCCATAGTAATGGGGTATCCCGCGGCAATCATCTCGCGCATAGCAAGTACATTGGCAATTCCATCTTCATTGTGATACACTGGAGGCGGAAATCTTCCTAGAAAACCTTCTTCGTCAAGAACTCTGCTGCCCACGTTAGCGTGCATGTCAAGTTCTTTCTCAGCATGATGGAGTCCATGCATAAGCTCACCATTACAAATGGTGGTGTTTGTACAACCACTGTCCATAATGACATGATCGTACAACCCAAATGGATCTCTTTCCTTTCTGCGGCTTTGAGTAAACTGCAGACCTCGATCCGCTTCAGTAGCAATATCAGGCAAATCTTCATCTTCACTAGCATAGTGCCAGTCGGCTTGAAGTTCAACATTTGTCGTACCAGCAGGACATGGAACAAGATAGACATCATTGCCATTCTCATCCTTTCCCTTGATAGCATCGTGAAAGACATTTGACATATCAAAATATCCAGTTTTCACAGCTTGCGGAGATTGAGCTTGAGTTGCATAGAATCCTTGGCGCACTTGAGCTCTACTGAAGCCTTGTCGGCTGAGTTGCATTCCACTGAACGCAATCTCACCGTTAGCATTCATAGAATAAGGGACAGTAACAGTGCCGCCACCTTGAGTTGGAATCTGCATGATCTGCATTCCAGAAGGAACTTGCATCATTTGATTACCTGTAGTACCAGCAAGTTGCAAAGGTGTGTTAACGCTTCCCGCAACACTTGATGCTCCACTTGTGGATGCTGAAGCTCCAGGAACTATAGCTGGAACAGTAGCTGGGACAGTTGCTCCAATCTGATTACGATTGAGCTTCTTCCCATAGTTAACATATTGATCCTGATTCTTCCATTGGGTCTTTGGTAGCAGTCTGTCTGGGCATTTTGGAGACATATTGTCTTCGTTGCCACATACATAACATGCTGCCTTCTTTCCATCCTTCGGTTTTCCCTTTCCTTTTCCTTTGGCTTTACCTTTATTAGGTTGGTCTTTTCCTTGGTAGAGGTTCACTCCCGGATTTTTACTCACTTCCATGTGAATCTTCAACATATCTTGGGCTTTGCTGACCGTCTTTGGATAATAATCCACTTCTCTGCAATAGTTCATCTGAAGATCCAGCATCAGAGGAGCTGTTCCCGTTCGATTGCTGTTGCATAGAAATCGTGTTGCAAGGACGGCTTCAAAGATATCATCCTTGAACTTGTTTTGAGCAGCAGTATCAGTGCTAGCAATAGCAGCATACGCTTTCGTCTTGAGTGGAAAATCTCGGAACCAGGCCACGCCATATAGATCTTGCAGGACTTCAGCCTGTCTCAAGAATCGTTCCTTGAAATGCATCAAGTTTTCCGTTGTTCCTTGCTTCATAGCAAAGAACTTTTGATTCGCTTCCCAGAAATCCAAGAAATCATACTCAGCATCAGCACTCTTCTTCATGAATCGTTCAATACGTTTCAAGAGTTCGATCGGATCTTCAAGAGTAGTCGTGAAATCGGCTTCACCTCGAAGCTTGATATCCATCGCCTTCGTCACAAACTTCAGCATGATGTTTGATTTGACGGTTCTCTTGTTTGTCTCCAAGTAGGCTGATCTTTGCGTGTTCTTGTCGAGCTTTGCAGAATAGAGAATCTTGTTTTGGGCCATCTCTGTTTCTCTTGCAACAGCTTCAGTTTGAGTTGGAGCGTTCAATCTTGGAGCGATCGCATTGAAGTTGATCGGCTTTCCATCTCAAATTGATTTCACCATGTCTTTGGAACATTTCATTCCAGAAGCTTGGATATAGTCAATCACTCTTTCTTCGGCATCTTTGTACGACGATCTTGCCTTTCCATCGTTTTCATCTTTTGTTGAAAATAGATGTTTCACAACTGTTGAACTCGAGTTGCTCTTGACTTTGCTCTTGACTTTCTGAGGAGTCACACGTCCTCTTCCCCCACCGGATGAAGAATGTCCCATTGTCAACGAATCACTCACTCCTTTATAGATAAGGCAGTGCTGTTCTTGACGTAAATTTGTTTTGTTGCCTTTTGTGATTGGATGTTAGAATAAAGCAAAATGTGCTCTATCCTGAGTGCCTTTGGCGCTCAGAACAAACTCTCTGCAATTTAAATTTGTAATCGATTGTACAACTTCACAACAATAGTTCTCCTGTGTCTAGGTATACTTTGAGTGAAATTGTTCCTATTTGATTCATATTTGGCTTGAATTGATGATTCAATCACAAAAGTAAGTTCAACGATTTTCCCTTGTAAAATCCCTTGTAAAATCCCTTGTAAAATCCCTTGTAAAATCCCTTGTAAACTCCCTTGTTTACAGAACTTGATTTGACCTCTACGACAATTCTGTGTTGGATGCAGTACTTTGGGACATCTTGTATTATTCCCTACTGCATTGTACACAACATCGATATCTCACTTGTATAGGGTCATTCCTTTTTTGTGTGGATGTAGATTGTCCAACAGACTTGTGTCTGGCATACTTGCGTCAAATCCCGACATTATGATCAAAGTCCGATCGTACGTGTTGAAAACTTTGTACTTGAATAGTTTCTTTTTGGAACTTAAAAACTCATATTTCGTCATATCCCAACATGCAGGAATGAAAGACCAGCAAGTGTTTACCCAAGAGGGGGGTTCAAGAGATGAGCTTAAAGCTTTGGGACAGGTGCTTGGAAAGCCTCAAATTGGATGCCTTTGAAAGATATGAAGGAGTCTTTCCCGATTGAAGTGGCCGAGTATGCGATAAGCAAGGGCATCCAAGATGAACCCGCTTTTGCATGGCGGATCCCGCATGTTGTTCGAAAGCGAAAGGGATTCCTTGGCAAAGTAAAATCAAAGTACTGGGAACGTATGCACAAGTACGGAATAGGTATCCCAAAATCGATCAAAGAGGCCATCGAAATCGACAAAGCAAATGGGGACACAATCGAATCGCTTTTGAAGAATTTGATGGAGACGTAGAAAAGCTGATGGGATACAGAAAGATCACGGGAAACCTAGTATTTGACATGAAACTAGGGGAAAACTTCCAAAGGAAAGCGAGGTACTGCGTTGATGGGCACAAGACTGAAGCACCCGCAGCATTGACCTACAGTACAGTAGTGTCCCGCAATTCAGTTCGGATACTACTAATGATAGCAGCGCTAAACGGATGAGACTTGCAATGCGCGGATATCCAAAACGCATTCCTAACTGCACCAGCAATCGAAAAGTGCTACCTGGTAGCAGGAGCCGAGTTTGGTGAAGAAGAAGGCAAAGTATTTATCGTAAGAAAAGCATTATATGGCTTAAAAAGTTCATTCGCAGCATTCAGATCCCACCTGGCGGAGACTTTGGAGGATTTGGGCTTCAGCTCGTCAACTGCCAACCCAGACGTTTGGATGCGAGCGGCAGTGAAACCTGACGGCGAGGAATACTACAAATACATCCTTTGACATCCTATGTATGTCGATGAAAGCCAAAGAAGTGATGGAAGGAATTGGAAGGGTATTCAGGTTCAAGAAAGGGACAATTGAACCTCCAGAAAGCTACCTGGGAGCTAGGTTACGAAAGAAGACTTTGGATGGACACAACATGTGGATGATGTCAAGTTATGACTACGTCGTGGCAGCAGTCAAAAACGTCAAGGAAACATTAAAGGACAGCCCAAAATGGAAAATGCCCAAGAATGCACCAACGCCAATGTTTAGTGCCTATGAACTTGAGATGGATGGATCAACCAGATGAGAGGACCATACCTACTTCCAGGAATTGATTAGGATATTACGATGGGCGACAGAGATTGGACGAGTTGATATCTTACTGGAAGTATCACTCCTGAGCCAGTATCAAGCAGCTCCAAGGGAAGGACACATGGAACAAGGATTGAGGATATTTGCTTTCTTGGATACCTTCCCAAAATTGACCCTTTACTATAGTTGGAGAACGCCAAACGTAGACTATTCCAAGTTGAGATCCTCCAGGGAAGATTTTGAGGCATACTACCGAGATGCGACGGAAGAGATGCCACACAACACACCCGAACCAATGGGACAAAGTGTAGGAAGTACTGCATGGGTAGATGCTTCACATGGCGCCAATAAGAAAACGCGGAATTTTGGGCCAATTGTTTACGCATTATATTGGGTCCGTGCATAAACACTACTGTAAATATTGAACCAAAAGTCTTCTACTGCTTTCCCTACCACCGTTCGAAAGCTTGAAGGATGGCGCACAATTTAGTAGTGAACAACACATTACTAGATGACTCATCTGAGGGAGATTAGAGGGGTTGAATTTGCAAACGTGGTGTTACGCACGCTGCGCGTACGGGATTGCTCCGACTAAACGATATATATTATAGACCTGAATAGTCACGTGCGGCATTTGATAAAGTTCAATTTTTAACCCATCCACGTTTTTGGACTCGGCCCTGATCAGGGCCGACTTCATTTAAAGTTTTTTTCTCGTACGACAAATTATGTACCGCGCTTGCGTGGAACCACAAAACCAAAATCACAAAGTTTTCTAAAAACATGTATTGATGTAGTTACAAACGTATTCACGAGACCACGAAGATGTCAATGCGATAAGCTGCTAGTATACGAATCCATCAATTAAACCACTCCAAATCTGATCAAAAACTCAGAATTAGTGTAGCGCCATTTTTTGTCAAGATTTTTATATGTAAGCCGAGACAGGCATCACTTGAATCACTCATTTTCGCCGCTTTTTTGTGGCAGGAGGCCCTAGTCTGCCCAGAAATGATGCTTGGCCCGCTTCATATATCTCTACAACACGTTCCCGCTGGGCCAGTGGCATCTGGTGGAAGAGTCTCCAGCAATTTCTGTCCACTTCCACACAAAATGGCAGACAACAGCCGTTACCCAATTCACACCCAGCACATACTGAGCCGGCTTTGCTGTACTTCCCATTAGCCAAACAAAGTGTACACTTTCTTCTACTGTCGCGTCCTTTCTTCTGTGCATATCTTTTCTCAATGTGATGAGCAGGAAGTATGGAATTCTCATCCGCCGGTGGGAGACCATGTTCAACTGCAAAAATCCGGCTCCCCATAAAGTGATACACCAGTTGTTTCTTCAGCTCCAAAAGGTTCGGCCACTCCTTCCTCGGTATCTTTTTTGCAGCACAGTATAGGATCCCAGCATTCTCAATGCCAACATCCACATAGTAAAAGAAGATTCGGATCCACCAACGACGCAGCCCATGAAGTCGGGTTTCAGCGTGGAGACGTCTCTGGTCAGCAAAGTCCACGCCACCCATGTACTCATTGTATCTCCGTACTATTTCTGGCCTATTCAGGTCAATGATACCTCTTTCAGCTTTGCTCCGCCTTTTGCAGCTACCAGTTGGCCTGCAGTCCCCATCTGAGGTAAGGACAATGACAGGCTTGCGGTCTTTCCAGATCGTGAGACCAATAACAATGGTCTGACCCTTTGAATCCTCGAAAGTGTACACATGACACTCGTGGTACCCACGCGGCTTGTCTCTGGCATATTTGTTGGTCCATCGAAGATGCTTTGGGATCCGGTTGGCCATCACAGTGCCGGTGACAAACAAGTCACTTTCGTGAAGTTCCTTGATTACCTCGATTGAAGTATAGAACCGATCCACATAGACAGTTCTGTAGGAGCCATTGTATGGGTTACAAAGTCGTTTCACAACCTGCGTAGTCTTCTTCAACTCTTCAGATTGAATGTGTCCAGCACCACCAGTATACATTTCCACATTCAAGACATATCCAGAAGTGGATTCTGTCAAGACATACAACTTGATTCCATATCGCGCCGCCTTGGTGACAACTCGGACCTTAAATCCAATTCGTCCAAAGGCTCGGATTAGTGACTCGTCAAGGCTTAGTTGTTGCTCGGGCTCATAGAGATCTCTAAATCTTTCCAACAGTGCCCCAGAGAACTCTTGAAGTTTCTGGTTGGGATCTGCCGGGTCTGCATCCACGGGAGCAATATGGAGGCCACGCATGATCCTGGCAAATTTTCTTCCCGTCATGATTCTTCTGATTGGAGGACAGTTGATCAGTGGATCCTCAGAGAACCAAGCAGAAGGTCCATCCCGCCTTCTTTGGCATGAGGCAATCCAAAGAACAGAGAGAGTATCCATGAGATCGTCACGTGTGACGTCCTTCCAATCAGCGCCCTTTAATGCGGATCCATATTCGTTTGTTCTCTTCACTACATTAGACATAATTCTCTGTGTGAAAACGGAATTAAAAGCCTTAGGAACACTATTGAGGCTTCCAGGTGCATGTTGTATGCCCTTCCTTCCAAAAGGGATTGAAGGTTCGTCCTGATCTTTGGTCCGAGTGGCTGGCGGGCTTTGAATAATAGTTCGGCGCTTCTCTTCAAACTTTGTTGGAGAATCAACACCCTCAAACGTTGTTGATGTGATCCAGCCTTCTTTTGGTGGAAGAGTCTGTTGAGGAATTCCTTCTTCATCATCTTTGTCAGTAGGATCCGGCTCCGCAAGTTGGTAGCGCTCGTCAGCTTCCATGAAAGAGCCAGCTGACTCCGCAAGTGCTTCTTCAGGCGCCCAACAGGTTTCGTCTTCCGCCACAACCGTCAGAGCTTCTTCTTGGGAAACAGGACTCTCTTTGGACCATTCGAGACGAGTCAATAGGGTTTTTCTCTTTGACCAAATGGGTGGATGCTTAAAAATGTTGACTAATGCTTCAACATCAGCCATTGCTTGATGAGCGCCATCGAGGTCCTTTCCTGTGATATACTTGTACATAGTCGCAAGCTTGAAGTTGTGTGGGCGAATAATTCCATAAGGATAGTCCTGGTGCTTTACCCATAGATATGGATCAATCTGAAATGTAATGTTGGGACAGATCTCCACTCTGTGAATTTGGCATTGCTCCAATAGAAATGGATTGTCGAAACTTTTTCCGTTGTATGCGACTAGGCATACCTTTGTGCAGGGATCATTCCCAATATTCTTCTTGATCCAGGTCATAAATGCATTTCCAACAGTCTTGAAGTCGCTTTCATTCCTCAGCTTGGCATCTGTGATGCCATGGATTGCAACAGAGTCGCTAACACCCTGTCTTGGTTTGACTAGTGAATAAAATGGTCCAGTCCCGGCAAGTTCATCTCCTTTGTTATCCAATCCAATGGCATACAATTCAATGATTTCATTCAATATTTTGGAGAATCCCGTTGTTTCAATATCATAGATGATGTAGATGACCTTGATGATGGTTGCTACGCTTGCTAGTACTTGATTTCCCCTTGGTGGATTCGGAACATCAGTTGGTGTCAAATTTTGATGTTTGCATGGGCAATCCAATGAATTCTTTCTGTGACCAACCAAGCCACAGGCACTGCACTTTGATGGCTTCCTTGGTTTGGTCTTGGCTGCAGCCTCTGCAACTTTGGGGCTTCCAGAGGGTGTCATTGGTGAGGAATGGATGATTGATTGATTTGCATTGATTCGACTGAATCCAAGCCAAAAACACAATTTCGGTGAAAAAGAAAATGACCTGTCATTGCTCGAGAACATCACCTTGGAACCTAAGTTTTTGAGGCATGCTTCTACTGTATTACAATAATATAGGTGTAAAATCGTATTGTCTAGTTCCATCATTAACCTATTCAACGGATGTGATTTGTGCTGAATTTTAGGGACTCGGCCCTGATCAGGGCCGTCTGACCCCCGATGGGTTAAAATTGTTCTCGTCATTTGGTCATTTGTTGTGATCCATCATTGTTTTTCCGATCTGCCAATGAGCGTCATTATGGCATGATGCACACTATGAGAATGAATAGATGATGCGTTATTCTAATTTGATGGATGTAGTGGTGGAGATGATCTAGGAGTCTCGGGAGACTGCACTTCGCAAGACCACGGGAAATACCATGGATGGTGTCCCTTCCGATGAGATCCAATCATCCAGCCCACCGAAACGATGGATCGGGTCGCCCTCTGCGAACACTTCTCGAAACAGAACCTTTGGATTCAACAAGGATAGCAGAGAACTCTCTTCCGCTTCATCCGTGTTATTGGGTTACGACGGTGACATCAAGACATTTAGTTACGACTGTGAATTCAAAACACAAATTTATCAAGACAAATTTACTTGACGAATAGATGAAGGAAACTGAATAAGCTCTAGTCTAGACCATTGATTACTATTATCTTTCCCCTCTCCTTTTTCTTACTGCTATCATTGAATTAGCGACTGCGAATATCCTCATGCATGTTTTTCATATACAGGGTAACTGCAGTACGTTTTCCTCTAAAAATCGCTGAACTTGAGTTTTCACGATGTTTGACTTGTCACAAGCTGGAGAAGACACGCCAAGCATTTTCTGATTGGCAGGCTTTCCGATCTCGTTTGAAATAGGCAAGGCTGGCTCCATATTTGGTGAGATTTGGTGGGAACTTTATTAGTGTTCAATGCTGCGGTATGTATTATCCGGAGGTTGTCATTTCCATCATCAACCTTCAGACCCCTTGTTGGCATGAAGAATACGCTTCTTAATACATCAAAGAAGCAAAATATCAAATAAAAACCACATGCCCGGTGATTCTGATGGTAGTAAAATGGCTGCAGCTTTGGAAAAAGTCCGGAAGTTGAATTCCTCATACCAAGACCAATGTATGACCTGCGAGAACTGGATAAAGTTGATTAAGAAGCATCATCAATGGCCTGATGATGTCAAGAATCCAACCTGTTCTCTCGGACATGGAGTGAGGACCTATTATAAACAACGTGGTGTGGCTGCCCATGCCTGGTATCCAAACCACTTTGGATTCTACACTACCAACAATGGTTCTTCACGGAAAGCATACTGTTCGATGCCACCCAACCAGTTGCCTAGCACTCCCCCTTCCAACATCAATTGGAAAAAATTGTACAGCTTTGATATTGATAGGACGCCCCTAACAAGGAGGCGAACGCGAAAGTATGATGATGTTTTTGGAGTCGACAAGGAAATCAAGAATGAAGACTGGAAGAAGCCATTCAGGAGTCCAATACCAACAAGAAAAAGCCCTAGAAATCATTCATCCTCTCCTAGCTTACTATTTTCAACATTAGTCTCGCCTCCCCAAGGAAGTATAGCTAGTAGTAGTGGAACCAACAGCAACTGCAATGATATTAGCGAAGATGCGGCTGCCCCGACCAACTACGCCACTTGGGTCTACTGGACATCATCAGAAGCAGCGAGAGAATTTGGACTTATAAAACCTTCTCGTGGTGAAGACAATGAAGAAATTACTGATGTTGTATTGGGAAGGATTGAGAAGGTGAAGGCTGCATGGCAAGAACCTCGAGGCTGGAGAAAGGTTATTGAAGATGTGGATTCACAGGACCTGTACACTGTAACGGATGTATTCAAGCTGAGATTGACATGCCAATATTTGATCAAAGCTCTGGAGATTGCTATTAGAGATATGAATGAAGTAAACATGACCTGGCAGAAGTGTTGCAAGGCAGCAATTGAAGAGATCAGCAAGTGTGATAACTGGAAGTATATCAAGGACTCGCGAACCATAACGTTGTGGCACCGCCAATTCCGAATGAACAATGAGTGCTTCAAGAACAAGCACCTAGCAAGTACCAATGAAGACAAGGCTAGAGTCTCCCACCTTTTTGATTTCTTTCCCCTGGCAAAGGACAGCTTAAAAGCATTCATCCGAGCAAACCTGCATCATTTGACGACCAAGCAAGTCTGTATTGAGTTGCAAGACCGCATCCTCCCACAGTGTGCAGCTTTACGAAAAGATGAGCTTGTCCAGGGAGGAGTTCTGCACGCTAATGAAAAGTATGAGAGCCAACAATTACTTGAAGAGTTGAAGATTCCCAAGCTTTCAATACCTACAGTCTACCGGTGGATGCGGAGGCTCAGATACAAGTACGAAGTTCGCAAGAAGTGTTACTATGTGGACAACCATGAGAAACCAGAGAACAAGAGGTACAGGAAGAAGTTTATCAAAAGGTATCTAACGTTAGAGCTACGGGTGTATCGGTGGATCCAGTTCTCAGATGCCGAGTATAATGGATTCTGTTCTGAGAACTGCAAATTGGAAGAGCAACTGAAGAGCAAGGGTTTCCGATATTGCAATGATGACCCAAAGAATTGCACCTTGACAACAGATCGCATTGAATTTCATGTGGATGACCATAATAAGTTTTGGAAGAAGATGCTGAATGATAAGGTGAAGTTTGGCAGGAACATGTCGGTTTGTGCTCGGGGCGAGAAACCACTGATCTGCTTTGGTCAGGATGAATGCATCATGAAGCAGTACTTGTTTACCAACAAAGCTTGGGCGACACCAGAAGGAACTCGGTCCTTGACACCAAAGGATGAAGGAATGGGATTGATGATATCCGCATTTGTATCGTGAGACTTTGGTTTTGGGTACCACGATCGAAATCTTTCTTCAGAAGAGAAGCAAACAAGCGGACTTGTGCTTAGTGAACAACAAAGGCTGATTGTCAACAATTTTAGAAGTCGCCCAGAAAACAATAAGTACAGGGATGGCACCAGAAATGGAAGCAAGAAAAAGGATCTTCCAAAGAATGAATCCCCATTTGTTCAGCTGTTTGATTACGGAAAGAACCTGCAAGGGTATTGGACTTGATGGTTATCCAGTTGGAGGATTGCATTGATGTATCACAGGCACTGCATGGCAATGATTATGATTATGATTACCTTTTCATGTTTGATCACTCGAACGGACATGACAAACAAAGGCCGGATGGACTGAATGCGAATGCAATGAACAAGGGGTTTGGGGGATCGCAGCCTTCAATGCGAGATGTGGCGATAGAGAGTGAGGATCAGCTTGGGACTTACAATCCTCCAGGGAAACTCAAAGTTGGAGAGACACAGCACATGAACTTTGATCAGCCGGGTGATGATGGTTCATGCTGGATGAATGCAGAAGAGAAAGCGGCAAGCAAAGAAGATGCCGAATGCAGGAATCCTGAATCCACAGATGAACAGGAAATGATTCGCTATAGTTTTAAGAAGACAGAACTTGTTGAAAGACACAGGGCAAGGCCTTCAATGGCACCAAAGCGGACCTTCAAAAGAGATCCACAGACAACGAAATTGCAATCTCTGAAATGCGTGTGAAGATCAAACAAGGTTGAAAAAATAGGCCTAAAGGAATGTTGCAGGAATTGTGGGAGCGTGGGTTCATCGATATGGATGTGCCAACATCTGAACTTGTGAAGAGATATCCGGAAAAGGGTCAGAAAGACAACTCGGGACAAGTGATTCCGGGAACGGCGTTGAAAGATATGGTCGCTTGCTTACCTGATTTTCAAGATGAAAAGACACTGCTACAACATCATTCTGAAGGAAGGAGTACGGGTGCTTGTCGAATTATGTTCATCAGAAGTCCAAAGTGCCATCCTGAAATTGCTGGCAAAGGCATCGAGTATAATTGGGCTGGAATCAAGTCTTATTATTGTTGTTTGGACCTTGAAGAAAACTGCAGATAGCTTCAAAAAGCTGGTCAAAGAGAGCTTTGGTGTAGGTAAGGTCCGGAGGGAGACTCGCAGAAGGAGCGGTCGCATAATCAAAGAAATCCTTGAGATGCTTTGATTGGATGGGTCCAATCGTACCGCCAGGTCTTGGAATGCCAGCAAACCCAATTAATTCGGTTGCACCTTGTCCCTCAAAATCAGAAAGTTTACTCAATTGCATGACAGTAAAAATTCCTTGGAGCTCCGTCGCCATCGCGGCTGTTGCAGGATCTTCGTTCCATACAATACGAGCGATGGTCGACACTTCGCGATCCGTGAATTTGTTGTTGGTCGGAGGAAGTGGAGCTGTTTTTGTGTCGTTCACTGGAATGACAGCATCATTCGGACTTGCGTCGGGACGACCTGCATTCTTGTTTGGAGTGAATACACTATTGTTGTTTTCAGTTGGTGAAGGCATAATATGAGTATAGTTGGAAGAGCAATAAGCGACTTGTTAATCGTCAACATAAACTCATAGAGTGACTAAACGTGTGCCCTGACACTTGACGAGTTTCTGACCAATTTCTGACGTGTTTCTTGATGTTTTCACAATGCCGTTGTTTCTCACATTCAAACTTTGCAATTCAAAAACGAAACAATCCACTGGTCAACCAACGAAACCAGCGCAACCAGCGCATCATTTTTAACATCAACAACCACCCCTTGCAATGCCAAAGTCGAAGACGAAAAGGAGATCCAAGCCAAAGCTACTGAAGGATGAGGAATGGGAAGTATTCTTTCTGAGGCATGAGAGAACGTACATTCAGGTGACCAAGGAAATGAGAAGGAAGGATCCTCTTCTATTGTATCTCTATTGGGTCCACATTTTGGCAAGGACAGTCCTATTGGGGTGTATCAACCACCAGAGACTTATGTGGAGAAAAGGAACAGAATTCAGGAGAAACATGCAAAACAGAAAGAGAGATTACACGAACGGACTACAATTGAGGAGATCAACGCTGGTGAACAAGCAACCCTTATACATGACTTTTTTTGCCAAAGAAAAAGACCTAATTGAATAGAAGCATAACTTTTAATAGCATTGACTTTCTATTTATTTATGTTGTCTGTTTTCATGTTTGGCATTTAGCTTTGGACTACATTATCTTGTTGTAGAATCGAAGACAACAACCAGCCAAGGACTTCACAAAGTATATTAGGTAATACTAGCAATCGATTTGTTTCTACATTTGGGCAAGAATTGATGGTTTGTCGAATACTTTTATCGAATACTTTTATCAAATACTTTTATACAACAGCATGGAGATTTGGGAAAATTCCAGTCACATGGCCATCAATAAAAAACAACGTCGAATCGAAGAGAACAACCAGCTAAGGATTTCACTACATATATTCGGTGGCGCTAGCAATCGATTTGGTTCTACATTTGGGCAAGAATTGATGGTTTCTCGAATACTTTTGTACAACAGAACGGAGGTTGGGGAAAATAATCGAAAATTCCACTCACATGGCCATCAATGAAGAACAACGTCAGATAAAACACAACAACCAGCCAACAGCCAGTCACACATTTCAATTTGGATATCAAGCGGTGATAGCGATAGATTTTTTTCTACTGTCTAAACCACAGAATGGTGATGGAAAAAAATTGAGCCTCTGACAGAAGTAGAAAAAGAGAATATCCCTACTTCTACTTTAAGTGACATTATCGTTTCTATGTATTGTCTTCCCAGTTTGTATTTCCTCACCTTGATTTTCGGATCGTCTGACGGATCATTGCGCTTCCAGGAGACACACGCACAATGCTGGTTGTCGGGTAATGCCCAACCTATAACGTAAATAAAAAAGACGCGTGGCGCTGATCACTCCCAGAGCCGGTAATGCCTGACATATATATACTGTATATGATATATAAGACCCATCGAGCTTGCCTTGCCCGACATGCGCAACACACACTTAGGTGGGTAATGCCCGACCTATTCAAATAAAATAAAATAGACTCTGCCAACGACGAATGTCCCGATGCCCCTTGACAACGACCAAGGCACACAACAGTCCGTCACTTTCAGCAAATCTCCATCATACTTCTTTTCTGCCTTGCGTAGCGAGCAAGGCTGGCATTTCCTTGATGGGTCCCACACCCACTTCTTCCATTCCGAAGCTGCCCGCCAACGTATTGCAGATCTCCACCAACGACGGCAGAGCCGCATTGGCGTATCTTTGGCCACTTCCCATCTAGTCATTCTGGAGTATTTGGGCAAATCCTTTTGAATGAGTGCCTTGTCGTGGTTGACATATCCAGTTTCACCAGGATCGTCCAATCCCGTCATGGAATTGAGGTAGGGAAATACCGGATCGAGTTGCATCTTGCGATAGACTTCTTTGTATTTGCGTCGATCTCTCAACAAGGAACAAATGATTCGATAAAAGTCCCAGGAATCCATAATGACCGCATGACGCTTGGCAATAGATTCAAGTGCTTCTTGTTCAAAGGCTTTGGCAGGGTCCTTGGAGACTTCGATCGAGTAATAGATCCCACTGGCTTCCGACTTTTTGGATTTCTTGTCGGCCCAAATGAGCTTGTTGGAATAACTGGCCAAATTAAGATATTGATCTTCAATTTGATCCAATTCTTCTCCACTGAGGTTATTCTTTCTCCGTTCTCTGGATTCGCTCTTGCTTCCCTGAGATGTTAAAATGTGTGATAAATACAAAATGTGTGAGTTGGGTGAAAATGCAAAACACCACAATCCAACCAGAAAGCGTATACAGTACTTACAGTCTTTCGCAATCACCTCTTGTTGGCAAGCATCATGTCAATGGCTTCCATCCAAGCAATTGCCGTTCGTTGTTCGCAGGTGACTAGGGTCACAGTAGTCCCATCGACGCCCTTGACGAGCATCCCACAACAGGTTCTTCCATTGGCCGGTCTGGCACTGGCAATGACCATTTCTTCAACCAAGGTCATGTTGTCTGTTTGACAATGCGGTTGGCTCATGGGTGTTAGAGTCTGATTGGCGGAACGCGATTGTATCAATTCCGACAACAGACTTCCTTGGCGCATTCCATCTTGAGGTCGTAATGATCCTTGCGAGCGTCCAAGGCTGCCTTCTTTTGGAGTTCCCATTGGTGCATTTCGAACATGTCCTTGTCACTTGCCTTGGAGCAGCATTGCCAGAATTTCTTTTTTGGCGGTGGTTTGGGTACTGGTTTGGGTGGAATCGTCATGCGTTGTTGTTGGGAATCCGTGGTGGCTACCGAAGCATTGTTGTCCAGCAGATTGAGACTGGCTTGCAATTTGATGGCATTCTTTCCTTTGCCTTCTGGTGGAGGCCAAGTGTAGGCTGGGTCCACAAAGGCAGCTTCGAGGACGGTTCCATACGAGGAATATTGCTTCGTGTCAGTCTTTTGTCCGGGTTGCTGTATGGTGATATGTGCTGTGTGCTATGTTTGGTATTGACAATATTGGTCTTCAGCAATGACAACGGATGAATCAATCTGCTTTAGATGGTTCAATTGTTCTTCTGAGGAATGTGCCTGTTGTTGTCTGTTGTTTGTTTTTGCTGTAATATTGTCTACCGGTATTGGAATGGGAGACGTTCATGATGTTGACTTGGAAGACGATGGTGACAGAGTCAAATGAAGCCTTGGAATGGAAATTTGGTTTGCCAACTATCGTGTGTGTGTCAATGCAAGCAAGGAGTTGAGTGCTTGTCAAATATAAAAGCAACAACCTCGCTCGGATTGGATGACGATCTTGGGTCGTTCTGTGGGAGTTTGAATTGGATGGGGCATCGCTAATTCGGGGTGGCTGGCAAAGCATTGGATGTCTTATTTACTGGGAGATGGGGGAAAACGCGTTAAAACACATCAAGGCTACTTTTTTTCAACTACATAATTCCACCAAACAAACCGCCCGTGATGTGCCAGTATGTCATGGTAGTTCTGCCAAAAAATCTGATCAAAGACAGGATCTCCCATTCCCTCAAATCGTCAGTGGAAGTCACCATAAGTATATCAAAGCCAGCCGACCCATGGTGGTGGTACATAAAAAAAAGTGTCAAAAAAGTGTTGCAACTGTTCTCAAAACGTTTTCAAACGTTTTCAAAAAAATTCAAGAGGTGTTTTTGTTAAAATGCACTGCTAGTCAGCCAAAACAGATCAATTACTGGACGAAATATAGACAAGGAAATTTTGTGACTACCAGATCCTTTCAAACTACACGTACGGAGGATTAGACCACGTACTTCCCAAAATAATGGTCCCCTCAATGTTGACTTGATACAAGAATCAAGAAACATTGTAACAATAACATAAAATGCAGTGTACCTCTTGTGGAGGACGCCCAAGCCGACACAGTCCAAGGATGAGCATGCCCACTGAAAGCAAAGGCGAATCATCGGCTTTAGTGTGGAGGCAGACCAAAAAGCACATTCAGAGCTTTGATCGCAGATTGTACCACTCTCGGAATTTTTTCTTCTTCATGCATATTAAATTCCACCAGACGAGCACGTTCTCTACCAGTATGAATCTTTGCTAACATATCGGCAAGATTTGTTTTGGTTCCTTCCCAAGCAACTCAAATAAGATCACTTGAACGAACATAATGATAAGCAACAGAATTGCTTTTCTTTTTCAAGACAGATTCCTGGCGACTTGCGTTCATCACAACAGAGTTGTTATCAACAAGAGTATGGCAGTGGCCATCAATTGGTACGCCCATCATTTGCAATTTGTATACTAGACCTTCAACCAATTCAACACCAGTCTTCAATGCAGCAAATTCACTTCCAAAAGAACTTGTTTCGACAGCATTCTGCTTCTTTGAATACCAAACGATCGGTGCATGATTCAAGAGGATAAGAACACCTGTTCTGGATTGAGGTGTAACAAGATTGGAAGCATATGAGGCATCAACAAACATCACAATCTTTACCGCTCGTCCAAGGGCTTCTGGCATATCAGGGGGCAGTACTTCTTTTGCCCATGGATAGAATTCATGCCATTCAGATTTTGGTATGTCAGTCAGAGCCATATATGCGGAATCCATGACAATCTCGCAGCTTGGATGTGTTTCAAGATAACCAAAAAGGTGTAATACCGCATGAAAGTGTCCAACACGAGGCATGGCATTGTACCAAGACATCATTGAGACTTCAGCACAAACGTCCATTCTTCCAAGCTCAACCAACCACCGTAATATACCAATCAGTTGCATATACAGGGTGTGTGTCTCTGCGTCAACAAAATCAGTGTTGTCAAGCTCAGGTCTATAACCAGAAGGTAAGGCAGCAGACACGTTTCTTTTTAAATTCAAGTTGTATTTTTGATGTGAGATTCGAGACTTAACGACATGTAACGCTTCAAGCAAATAGTTAGTCAAACCAATCAACCAGCATTTTTGAGAATCGCTAGGATCAACAAAACGTTTTGAAATTGTTGCACCAAGGAATGTTGTAGGCCCTGCAATTGAATCAGGCTTGAGCATGTAATGCGTTCCAAGCTTCTCCAATATAGCATGAGGATTTTCAGAAACAGCCATAAGGTCATCGGTGTAAACAAAAATATATTCGTAATATTTTTCGCCATTTGACTTCAAAGCGGGTTTTCTCCAAACATCCATATCACCACAACACTGTTCGAACTCCATTTCTTCTCTCAGAGTCTTAGAAAGCGTACATCTCCATGGGAACCCGGAAGATTTTAATCCATAGAGTGCTTTCTCCACAACAGCAGTGCGGCCCTCAAGGTCTCCAAACTCGGGTCCAAGTACTGTGTAAATCTTCTCAGCACAAGGCGCGTTCAAATACGCTCCAGCAATGTCAGCAGACAAAATATCCAAACCATTTAACGAAGCAAGCAAGAATCCAATACAAATACTCTCACAAGTGACAACACTGGCATACGTTTCCGAAAGAGGAGGATCATTTTGGTCCCCTCGAGCACATATCCGGGCCTTTCGTGTGAGGTCCATCTTATCATCAAAGACAGTCATCAAGTCAATACAAGTATATCCAGGGGGAACAGGTTCATTTGGTCCCAAGATTCTTAAGGCAGGCAACACAGTTTTTACTTCCTTTTCAATAGCATTTCCCCAATGATTGCTACCAGTGTTGGCATCAATCTCGTAGGCACGTCTCACGCCTTTTGGACCAGTACCAGGCAATTCTAAACCAAATTTCTCAGTCTTGCGAGTTAAGGCTCTTCTTTTCACAGCCTTTAGGATTCTATCACGCTTCTTCAGAGTATAAGGAACCCACCAAGAGAAAGCAGGCTCAGATACAAGTTTGTTAGCAACAGCATATTCGGCCACCTGAATTGGATAGGCCTTCTTTGCCGTTTTCAAATCAATCCATTCTGTCTCATCACCATGAATTTGAGCACACAGATACCACCCTTTTGTAGTTCTTCGAGGAACTTTCTTATTCTTTACCATGACAAAACCATCATCAGCATGGACTCGTGTGCCATCCGTCCTGTGATCAATAAATTCTTTCACATGGAGGATACTATTACCGTCATCATCAACATTCATCATCATTGCTTCAATAACCTTGTTTGCACGATAGGATTCAGTTTCACTGTCATGCCATTCGATTTCATAAATAGAAGTGTCCAAGACAGGCTTCTCATGATACGAACCAACCAACAAGCCATTTGCTCTTCTCTTTCTTCCATGAACAACTCCAAATTTGTCAATACCATTTTCATTCTTCCGGATCTTAACACCAACATATTTGTCAAATTCCACCTTGCATCTTCTTCAGATGGGGCTTCCTCAAAAAGCTCTTCATGCTGCAATATTTCATCATCTTCATATCGTTCAAAGTGGGGAGTGTTAGCGTTCATGCGCAGAGGTCTGATATACTTTTCATCAGCTTTGTAGGCACCCAAAGGATCCTGTAAATCATCAATCTTGATGGGGTCAGAGTTTTTCAAACAGTTATGTAAGTCTTCTGTAAAACGCTTTTTCAGGTCTTTGATATCTGTACTATCCTGCTCTTCTCTAGAGAGAGGAATCACACTTGAACGCTGTAAAACTTTTCCACAAGAAGTGGCACATGCAAAACACAGAGATCCGCCAATGTTAAAACTGGGTCCAAGCCAATGACACAATTGCATATTCTCTTGACTGGAGTGTGTCGGGGACAAAGTCCAACACCAATCATAGATACCAAAATCAGCCAGATGCGAGATATTACCGGAGATCCAACCGGCACCACAGTCATCACCTTGTTGAGAGTGACCAAGAACCATGTGACTTCTTAATTCCAAACAATAGATATAGACTCGATCCCAAAACGCTTTCGGGATCCCTCTTCTTGTCATAATTTGTTGCTTCACGAATACAATCTTCAGCAAGGTTTTGATCAGGATTGTAAGGCTTGCTAGGACGTATTGGAACCTGGGCCTTATTTGCGACTCTTCGAAATTCTCCAGCAGTCAACGACTGGGCATCATCAGGTCGGAGAACTCTTGGAAAGCCAATATCACAAAATAGTTCCTTGGGCGAGTTGCTCACTTCAGATTCTTTCTTGAAAGCGTAGCCACGGGCCCATTGACAGGCAGCAGCATAGACAGCAACATACTAATTTTCTTCAGCAGAAACACAGGGGCCTTGTTTGATATCGCCCAAATATCAGCACGCAACCTAGGATATTCAAGTTAAAACTGAGTGGGGCGAAATCGTCTTGAGCCTTCGACTATAGTCCAGTCCCGCAAAGCACGCTGTTTCTTGAGAGTGTGACGGGCACATTCAAGGCTGATTCGCCATCTTCGCGCAAGTTCGTTAAAATGCGCTGCGAGTCAGCCAAAACAGATCAATTTCTGGATGAAATATAGCAAGGAAAACTTGTTCTTCAAGTGGGAATAATAGCGATTGATTTTCGCCAAATTCGCTTGTGTCCCAAAAGCTGGATCATGTTGGCGATCCACCATATAAATAAATCGGCAATAGTTGCAAAGGTCGTAGAGCATGATTTTCTGGGCTTGGTTGATTGAAAACGTAGCATCAGGATCATTTCCTGGATCAGTCACAGTGCGATTGATCTGCTTCACCAAGGAATCAATATTTTTGCACGTCAAGCGGGCAAAGAAAGCAGGGGAACTGAAGCCCTGTTCAATAACAATCTCTTGTGCCTCATCCTGAGAGAAATTGAGAACATCTTGAATGTAGTTTCTCCATGCAATTCTCGCAGCGGCCATCGTTCAATGTCTTTCGTGTTGTTGTAAAAATAACACGGCACAAATTTCAATATTTTCGTTTTGCCAGTTGTTTTCAGTTTCTGATCGGAGTCGTATAATGCAATTTTGCACGACTACGTCAGTGTGAGATCTTAATTAAAAGAATCGCACGACAAATAATTATATACGGAGTATCGAGCGAGATATCCTGGGTACGTCTACCCGTGTGGCAAATTACTCGCAACCAAACGGTTTAAACGGTAACAAGTGGCCGTCTTCAGTCAACGCTCGAGACTGAAATGTAGCGACGTGAAAACCACGGATCCTTTGACAATGGGCGATCCAACCTTTGCCTGTCAACCACAAACTTTGGAGACCAGATATTATTTCAAAAAGCCTTCTCAAGCTTTAGCTCACAACAAAGAGCTTCTGGGTCTGATAAACCATTAAAATGCGCTGCTAGATAGCCAAAACAGATCAATTATTGGACGAAATATAGACAAGGAAAACTTGTGACTACCAGGGACATCCCGAAAAAATCTGTAGATTTCATTTTTTTCCGACCAAAGCACCCCCTGCCGCAGGAAGATATGTGTTTCACTTGGCGGTCCGCTCGTCGACGGGAACAGGCCTAAAGGTTTCACTTGGCGGTCCGTTCGTCGATGGAACAGGCCTAAAAAAGACCTTAAATAGAAAAATGCAATTTGTTTATTATTTTTTTCTCTTTCTAAATATCAAAAATATCTTGTTCTGAAAAGCGGTCCCGCGGTTTTGACTGAAAGGTTTTATTCAATCGTCTAAGTATATTTTGATCGCGAGCCAAAGTTGTTGTCAATAAACAGGGCGGTTGCACTTGCAGAGGTCCCATCAATCACACGGTTGCGCTTGAAGAGGTCCCACCCCCTGTACATGGTTGCGCTTGCAGTAGTTATAGACCTCAAACAGAGAGTTTCGAGTTTTAATGATCATTTAAAGAAATTCAGAATTTACATCTCCATTACTTTATGAATACGACAAATTGATGTAGCATGTTAATTGAAAATTATCTGTAGATGATCGTGAAGATTCAAAGTTCTCTGTAGATGATCGTGAAATTTGTTAAGTAATACTTATCGGTTCAATTCCACGATTATCTACAGAGACTTTTGAGTTTTCACGATCATCTACAGAGAACTTTGAATCTTCACGATCATCTACAGACTTTTGTTATATAGACGGTGGTGGCGCGTTAAATGATAAATCCCTGTAGATGATCGTGAAGACAGAAAGTTCTCTGTAGATGGTCGTGAGAATTCAAAAGTCTCTGTAGATGATCGTGGAACTTGTTAAGTAATACTTATCGCTTCGATTCCACGATTATCTACAGAGACTTTTGAATTTTCACGACCATCTACAGAGAACTTTTTGTCTTCACGATCATCTACAGAGAACTTCTTGTTCTACGCGACTATTGTTAAGTAGAATTCGATGGCGCGTTAATTGAAATAGGCCTCAAATACCTGTAGATGGTCGTGAAAATTCAGAAAAAACCTGTAGATAATCGTGAAGATCGAAGATTCTCTGTAGATGGTCGTGGTTTTGTTAAGTAACATTTATTGGTTCACAATCACGATTGTCTACAGAGAATTTTCGATTTTCACGACTATCTACAGGTTTTTCCTGAGTTTACACGACCATCTACAGACATTTGAGGCCTTTTGCAATTTCTCGCACTGGCGGAAGGACAATGGCTCGCTTTTCTCCTTCTGGAAGGAGTGCCATTTTTGACCAAAAAAATCATTTACAGATTTTTTCGGCATGTCCCAGATCCTTTCAGATCACAAAACTACACGTACAGAGGACAGACCACGTACTTCCCAAAATAATGAGTTGTTCAGGTTTGACCAAATAACTCTTGCCATCGGTTTTAACACCATTGATGGTCGCCTCAACTCTGTCCCCTGAAGCGATAGGAAGAGCGAGTGGGCAAATAGAGCGGTAGTTGGGATCAGAGCGTTCAACAGAATAGATTTGTTGAGTGGCTAGGTCTCCTTGATATTCACGTCGTAAATTTTGTTCGATGCGAGAGGATTCCGGGTCATAAGGTTCCCAAGGGGCGGAACTGGTCATCTCCACCGAAAATTTTTCATCAAGTTCAGACAGCGCAGGTTTGCGACAGGCAAAGAAGCTAATAGGCTTCAGGAAGTCCATTGGGATATGTAACCCCAAGTTTTCATCAATAAGTGAATGCGAATACTGATTGCGATCTTTGCGCTTTAGACGTTGGAGGGGCACATCATTCACAATTATACCAAAATCTTGAAGTTGATCCACACAAAGGAGATTACTTTTCATGGTTGGGATGTACAATGCTTGATCAAAGATCAAGATATACGTTTCAAGGGACAAAGGACAATCATAAGCAACTGCAACTTTTGCAACTTTAACATTAGGCACACTGCCAAGCAAAGGATCAAAGCCTTTAACTGTCAAGGTATGAGGATAGGTTGCAAGAACCAAACAATTTTTGCCAAAAGCACAAGTATCGGCATGTGAGTCAAGCTCACATTGGGGCAAGTGTTGGCTAAAACAGCCAGTCTGGTCCTCGACTTCTGGCAAGAATAGCAGTAGAATAAGATCTAATAGGAAGTGGTGAGACTGTTCATCCGCAGGTTGAAGCCCAGCATCACTGGCACCTGTTCCTATTGTAGGCAATCCATAGCCGACGTAGATTTGTGCTCAGTATACTCCAGAGGTAGCTAGAGCGTTGAGGCTCTCGTTACAGCTACGGAGTTGATTATGGATTGCCTCATCCTGAGAGAAATTGAGAACATCTTGAATGTGGTTTCTCCGTGCAATTCTTGCAGCGGCCATCGTTCAGTGTCTTTCGTGTTGTTGTAAAAATAGCACGGCACAAATTTCAATATTTTCGTTTTGCCAGTTGTTTTCAGTTTCTGATCGGAGTTGTATAATGCAAGTTTGCACGACTATGTCAGTGTGAGATCTTAATTAAAAGAATCGCACTACAAATAATTATATACAGAGTATCGAGCGAGATATCCTGGGTACGTCTACCCTTGTGGCAAATTACTCGCAACCAAACGGTTTAAACGGTAACAAAACAGATCAATTACTGTACAAAATATAGACAAGGAAAACTTGTGACTACCAGATCCTTTCAGAACCGTGTGGCAAATTCGGGCATTTAGCAAAACCAAAACCGAAACCGCCAAACCCGACTATAGGTTGTGAAACACGCGCTAATTAATGATGACGCGGTAAAACTGAAAACTGTTTTCAGACGGGGATATCCTGGAAATCTCAGGGAAAAAAAGGGAACTTTTAGGGAACTTTCAGGTAACCTTGAGAGAATTTTTCCGGAACTTTTGGGAGATTAATTGAGACTCACAAAATGCTATTTCTGGTTTCCCATCTCGCAAAGAAACTGTTACTTTTCAAATTGTGAATTATTATCATGCCATTGGCATCGGTTTTGGACAATCCAATGCTATCAACAAGGGCACTCTTCACTGTCGATAGCCTACAATGAATACTGGAGCGACTGACAATGCTGGACAATAGTAGTTGAAGGATTGGAGAACCAGTGATGCAAAAAAAGAGCCCAAGAAACCTATCAAGGACAGTACTGGAGAGACATCACCGTAAACATGGACCCAAACCATGTCTACTCGCAGATGGGCAATGGCGTACATTCGGCCAAAAAGTCTTGTTTAGAACAAGGTCTTTGTCTTTGTTCACTGGATGGTCACATCTATTATTCAAGAAACCAACAACCCCAAAGTTCTCAAGTTCAAGATTTGGGCTAGACTTTGGCGGCAGGAGAACTTCAACGAGAGTGTGAAACGTTTTGACTCTATAGGAACTTGTTTTTGTTATACTATGAACAAGCATGAAACCGTTTACACTGACTTTCTCGTTTTGATTCAATACAATATTGAGAATGGCCGTCCTTTGAATAGCGTCATCTACTATAGTGCAATTCTCTATTATTTGTGTGCTTTGTCTTTTGAGGGAATATTGTTTCGCAAAAGTTCCCAACCCTAAAAATTCCCTAAAAGTCCCTGAAAGTTCCCTATAAGTACCCGGGAAATTCCCTAAAAGTACCCGGGAAGTTCCCTAAAAATCCCAGGGAAGTTCCCTAAAAATCCCCGGGAAGTTCCCTAAAAGTTCCCTTTTTTTTCGGGTGTCCGTCCGGACAAACGGGTCATGTGATAACGTTCATCTTTTCCGCTCGGAAACACAAAATTTCGATGATCAGAGAATGATCAGGCAAGATGGTAGACGGACTGGCAAGAGAAGACTCCTGTCTTCACGCCAACAGTCATGTCGTCAGTCGGTAATTCAGTGGACGAAAAATTCGGGGACGATCGGCATGGCAAACGAAGGCGTGAACAGAAGCATTCTTTGAGCTAAGGAACCACGATAATCTGAAACAGTTCAGAACGATTATATCTTTTTTTCTTTCATCTACCCATTACCAGACTCCCGGAGTCGTCCATCCCAATCTGCCCAGGTTGCATTCTCAAATCCGATTCAAGCCCAATCAACCTGTGGCACCCCAATTTCCTCTCGCGTACCCGAGAGCGTCGCATTTGACGTAAAACTGCTCCTTCGGGAGACCTATCAAACCGCACCGTTGCGTCAGCGCCCATCCGCTGTTTTAACTTGCCCACCGGTGGCACCCCTCAAATTCCTGATATTTGAACCGACACCGGTGTCAGGTGGCTTAGCCCCACGCTACCACCCTATTCAATGCGCCTGTGCATTCATTGACCGTCAAATATGAACTTTGAAAATCCTAATATATCCAACAGATCCGTCATGATAACTTCACCAGAATACATTACAGCCAAAGCTGCCAATGGAGCAAACTCGTCTGCCGCATACTTTATACAGTGGTTGCGAACCCAGACGGGGAATCCAGAGGTCAATCTGCACTATACCGTCCTATCCTATGAGATGACACCAACAAATGGAGACCTAGTTCAGGGCACTATCAGTAATCCAAAGGCAGAAGGTCTAAGACAAATCCACCGCCAAATACTAAGACTGTGATGAGAAACCTGACGTATTCAAACACCATACAAAGTCCAGTGCCTGGAGACAATCCTGTTGCTACTAGCCACACCCCATCTATTTCAGCGGACCCAATTACCCAGAGGGAGGACTTGCATTCTATTGTGCAACCTACCAATGTTGCAAAGTTAAGTGTGGACAAACTGGTTGAAGGAAATTCCATGGTTTCAAGGGATAGAAACAGATCCCTTTTCATTTTGGCACAGCAACATAAGCAACGAGCCAAAGTACTATCCCACTTCAGCCAATTGAGACCCAATGAAAAGGCAACACCTACGAAGGACAAGATGAGAAAACCTACTCCTCTCCAAATTGTAAGTCCACCCCCAATGGGTCCTGGGGGTCTAGCCGCAACGCGACAAGCAGTTCATGCTGCCGCAGCTCCAATGATGAAGCAACAGTTTGGCCGTTTTACGTCCACATTGACTGTTATGGACCAATTGACACGCACTGAGTTCATTCACAACCAGCGGGAGGCCATAGAAGCAAAAGCTATCAAAGCAGTGTGCTCTAAATTTGTGAGAGCCAAAGCAATGCCTGGTGGTGTAGGGGATACTACAAAATTGTGTGGAGTCGAATATCAAGCCATGAGTGCATGCTACTGCATGAGTATTTGTCCCATCCTTCACTTTAGGAACAAACACAACAAGCTCTTGTTGTGCCAAAGACTTCAAGCATTTGGTGACTCCCACCATCCCATCAAAGTGTTCCTTGGACTCCTTCACGGATAATGGGGCCACTCCTTCAACAGAGACCTGCATCCAAGCTGCCAAAGACTTCAAGCATTTGGTGACTCCCACCATCCCATCAAAGTGTTCCTTGGACTCCTTCACGGATAATGGGGCCACTCCTTCAACAGAGACCTGCACCCAAGCTGCCAAAGACTTCAAGCATTTGGTGACTCCCACCATCCCATCAAAGTGTTCCTTGGACTCCTTCACGGATAATGGGGCCACTCCTTCAACAGAGACCTGCACCCAAGCTGAGAGCCATTTGAATTGAGCGGTAGTCTTGTGATTGTTGATATAGTTTCCATGACTTCTTGTGGAAGTCCAAGTAGTGCAGAGCATTTGCCAGAGAAAAACCAAGGCAACAATCGTTATCGCCTTGAACATAGGGAAGCATTTTCATCTGGTCCCCATTTTTTTTGGAATTTGAGAAGACAGTGGTTCGGGGCAACATCCAAGTTGCTATCTCCCAGTGGAACAAAGAATGAGGGTTGATTCATACCCCCAGAAGAACACCTTTCTCCATAAGCAATGCATTTTTCAACAAATCCTTTACCAAGATAATGTTTGACATAGGCAACTGTCACATTTGAATAAAAAATCCTGCTCTTTGTTTGAGATCCTAGCATAAGTCTGAATGTGAGTTCGGTTTTGTCTTCATTGGGTGGCTCATATCTGATCTTCCAAATTTTGCCAGTATTGCACTTTTGTGGGTTTGGCGCTTGAATGTTATGTTTTGTTAAGAATTCTGAAACATTATGGTCTACTGGGCCATATTGATCCTTCAATGCCTGATTGTACTCGCTTCTATCCTTTTCAGTTTGATTCTGGAACTGCCTAGCTGATTCTTGACGTCCTTTGGGTTGCAACAATTTCTTGTCAAAATTACTGAGAACTTCACCAAACTTTTCTCTAACCTCTTCAGACTCTTCAACTGCAAGGAAAGCTTGCAGCTCCTTCTTCAATCTCAGCTGTGATGCCCAACTTTGCTGACCCTCCTGACTGTCTGGTCTTCTTGTTCTCTTTGGTGAAGACGGCTTCCAATAGTCACAAGTTGACTCTTTGGATTCAGTGGATGGAGATTGTGGGGAATTTTTGCTGCAGCAGAAGCGGAAGGTTGTGGTGGTCATGGTGGTGGTTTGGCGGCAACAGCTGTAGATGGCTTCCCATTGTTAGAATAAAGCAAAGTGTGCTCTATTGTGAGTGCCTTTAGCGCTCAGAACAAACTCTCTGCAATCTAAATTTGTAATCGACTGTACAACACTTTCAACAACAATAGTTTTCCTGTGTCTAGGTATACTTTGAGTGAGATTGTTCCTATTTGATTAATATTTGGCTTGAATTGATGATTCAATCACAAAAGTAAGTTTAACAATTTTCCCTTGGAAAATCCCTTGTTTACAGAACTTGATTTGACCTCTATGACAATTCTGTGTTGGATGCAGTACTTTGGGACATCTTGTATCATTCCCTACTGCATTGTACACAACATTGATATCTCACTTGTATAGGGTCATTCCCTTTTTGTGTGGATGTAGATTGTCCGACAGACTTGCCCGAGTCCGGCATACTTGTGGCAAATCCCGACATCACGATCAAAGTCCGATTGTATGTGTCAAAAACTTTATACTTGAATAGTTTCTTTTTGGAACGTAAAAACTCATATTTCATCATATCCCAACACACTCCTGCCATTGTGACAATCACCATTGGCAGCAATGGGACATGCTCTCATTCACTGTTAATTTTTTTTTGTATTTTCATTTTGAACATATACATACTTGTCTGACCTAGTCCTGTGGACCAAGAATCAGATCCCTGAACTTGCGAAACTTCTCACCTTGCAATGGCTTAGTCATGAAATCCGCAATCATATCGTCAGTTGGACAGTATTTGATCTTAGCATTTCCTTTCTCAACTTGATCTGTGATAAAGAAATATTGAATATTGATAGCTCGGCTTTGTTTGCCCGTGCTCTTGCGACCATTCTCTTCCAGTAGAATTGCGCTTGTGTTATCCTGATACAAGATATTTTTCTCGACCGGATACCCTTGCCACTTCATGAACAACTTTTTTTCCATAGTATCATCATGGCAACATTGTCAACAGCAATCATTTCCGCTTCTGTACTGCTTCTGCTGTTTAGTTTTGGCTTCTTTGACATCACTTGAGCTGCACCTCGTCCAAAGGACAGAGTGCCGCCAGTATGGCTTTTCAAATCTGGATGCACCGCAAATGATGCGTCAATCATCCATTTAATGACTTGTAGTGATTCTGTAGAAAGTGTCAGGTGATACAACAATGTACAAAACAAATATCGCATCATGCAAACACACTTCTTCCAATCAGACTCTGTAGGTTCTCAAACTCTTGAGGCAAGAATAGTAATTGTTGGATGGATATCCAAACGAGCTCTCTTAGAGATATAAAGTCCCCTTGCAACAGTAGTATGGAAGATCTGACGGTACTCAGCACTGAGTAACTTCCCTTTACCAGCTTCCAGTAAATTGTTACCAGCTGGTGCTTCCTGCTTTGAATCCTTGTTGAACTTGATAGGAAAATCTTCCAACATGTTCTTGACATAGTCGTCCATGCGGATCTTGAGTTTTCCTTTCACCGAGAAATCCAAAGTCATTCCAAGATATCTTTGTATCTTTCCTCTGACAATTTTACATGCCTGGATTGAACCATATCTCATGTTCAACCACTCAGCAAATTTGTCATTTACTTTCGGATCCATGTGACTTGACATAAGATTGTCAACACAAAATCTGATAGTTTGCTGTTTGTCATCAACAACTTTGTTAGCAACACACGGGTCATGGATTGAAAACAAATCCCTTTGCCTCCAAATCACTTCGAAACTGATTATAGAATAGGAGGCTCGATCCCATATATAGCACGTAGTACCCGCACATAGATTACTTGCTTTCCGTTCTCTAATACAACGTATTTGCGATACTCTGGGGCCATGTCAATCAATATCTGGACCATCATGCCAGTGATTTTCATGTAGACACATCTTCTCCTTCCTTAGCTTCAGGCATATAAGTTTGAATGAAAGCGTTAGGCACGTCCATTGTCATTATATCTCTACCTTCGTGTGCATCAATAACACAAGTAGTGGTGATTGCTTCCTGCAAAGCAGTTGGACTTGCAGTGTCCTCTCACAATAACCATTCACGAGTTGCATCGCCTCAGTATACTAGACGACCTTTAATTAATTGTCTTTTCAAATTGCTTTTCTGCGAGTAACATCATCGCTGATTGGGCCTTCTTTTGCTCAGACGCGGTCATGTCTTTCACAAATTCGGGAGTAAAACAATCTCTCAGGAGCATTTGTCTCAATTCCTTATCCACAGCATCCTTCCCATCATCACCAAATTTTATTCAGCCCTTGATTGATGTAATGCTGTTGGATGAAGTTCAGACCTTTGTCAGCATCAAACTTGGCCACGATCTGCGTCATGCAACGAGCGATCAGGGTCAGAATAGCGTCGTGCTCTTCATAATCAGCTTTCATCTCATTCCCAATCTGTTGGAAACATAGATTGTGCTGTTCTTTCAGCATCCTATTGTTTCGCTCAGCGGTAGGCTCCTGGTCTTTAGCTGCAGTCCGGTCAATAGTAAAACCCATATCGTCCTTGAGAGGAATGAACGCCCGATCACACTTGATGATCTTGACTTGAAAGCCTGCCTTGTTGTAGCGGCGGAATATCTTATCCAATGCTTCAAATACAGGGTCAGTCTTCAGGTTCTGCACGGGAATACA